GTGTGTGTGTGTGTGTGTGTGTGTGTGTGTGTGTGTGTGTGTGTGTGTGTGTGTGTGTGTGATGGAATATATTTTCTGTCTTTTTATGCCGTTATAGTCGGGAAAATGCCAGGCTTCCTTGACAATGTTGACTGGATGTTAAGAATGGATTTTACAGCTGCAAAATGTGAATATCTGAGACACACACTACGAAACTCTTCCCTGCCACCATAACACTGCGCTCAGCAATACAGTGATATTGCACATTTCGACAAGCGTGTCAGGCAATGAATTATTTTCTTTTGTATCGAAAGAAGTTCACATTTTCTTACAAAATTTAATTTTATGTATATTTATGTGTGTTAGGTCACTGATAAAGTTAGGTATAGAAAAACCACCTGTTGATTCCTATCTTCAACGGAAATACCATTACAATGCCATGTAAAGTATTATAAGGATTAATGTTATTCTACATAATCTGTACTTGAATACTTATCAAAATTAAATTACTCTCAAGATTACTCAATACTAGCGTTGTTGTTTTTGTCAGTGATTAATGTCTTTAAATGGTATATTAGTATGTAAAACATACCTTAAGAATGAAATATAAAGTTTTATTTTTAAATTATTTTTTAATTTTCCATACCGAAAACCCCATGTTTGTTATCATTGTAAAAGTGCATCGTTTGCCGATAATTAAGTTCGAAAATGTGACACATGCGAATTGGACAGACATGTAAACGAAATTGACGTTGTATGCGACAAAAAAGTAACATCAATAAACATGAAACAAAATAAAACTTGTTAATATACTGTAGAAAAATTTTCTATAGGTTATGACACTAATAATGATCAACAAGGTATTTTGGGGACTGAAATGGCTAAAGTTACATTTATAGTATAAATGACGCACGGGTCAACGATGAAGGCCTTAAGGGTTGTTGGTACCCCAAGACCTCTGGTGCACGTGGTTTTTGGCTCCTCCAGACCTTTGGCGCCAGAGGTTCCGTCGTTAGTACACTACTGGCTAACTTAGAAAATAATGTAGACCGCATTGAGCGAAAAAAAAAATCAATAAGAACGATCATAACATTATTTACAGTCACAGATGGCAATAACTTAAAAGAAGTTCTTTGAAACGGTACACGGGGAACACCGCTGTAACCTTTTGTCTCCTAACGTAATATTTTTCTTTTATTTCTCCTTCATAAACCTATAACTCAATGGTTTTGATGAAGATAGTGTATGCTTTTTAAATTTATGTACCCTTTTCAAAGGAGACGGCTAATTTTTAAGATTACCCTTTCAGTCGTTGAATGAATAAACTGCCACTGACTCCAAATGATTTAATAACTGAAACATGAACACATTTTACATCACATGCTAAGCAGTAGAAAATGTACCAAATAGGACTGGTTATAAAACTTACCTCCTGTTAGATCACGTAATGATCTTCTCCGAATCTTGTCACCGGAATAATTGCCACGTTTGTATATAAGGGCAAATATATGTATTCTGTCACACCTGAACTTCCAACAAAACATAAGCTGCACCAGCTGATGCTTAAGCCATTCCAGCGATTTGTACCTTGGCATTGCTTGGTTCTAAAATTGGAAATAATTTTTTAAACATTATTGTGATGTACAATACAAACGTGTATGGCTTAATTAGGTCATATGTTGATGACACTATTGTATCCATCATGTGTCAACTCTGGATATTGGACACCCCTATAATTGTGACAGAAGGCATAATGACTCTACGACCATATTAAAATAGTGTTTTGCTTGGCACGTAGGTACTTAACAACAAGCAATGGCAAGAAAAAGAAAATAAGAATCATATTTTTTGCTGAATTCTGCAGTAATGGGGGAAAAAACAATCAACAAAGTATAGTTTCTTGGGCCTGGCTGGCTGCTTAGAAGTTGTTTCGTATTTCTGTACTTGCAGGGAAAGATATATAAATCTACGTAAACGCATGTAATCATTATACAGAAACGTGCCGTCTGTCCGTAGACGCATATAATCAATAGATAGAACAGTTCTGTTTGTACGTAGGCGCATGTAATCAATACTTATAACTGTACTGTATGTACGCAGCCTCGTGTAATCAATAATTAGACTTGTACTGTTTGTACGTAGACGCATGTGATCAATAAATGAAACTGTACTGTTTGTAGGTAAATGCGTGTAATCGATAGACAGAAATATACTGTTTGTACGTGGACGCGTATAAAAAAAATAGATAGAACAGTACAGTTTGTAAGTAGACCCATGTAAACAAAAACACCGCTTGGATTACTTCAGTCTGCATAGCATGGCGGACGCAACATATACACAAAATTAAAATGTAGCTTTTTGCATTAACAATAAAGAAAACATTTCAAGTTCATTTCCAATATTTTATGTTAATAAATAATTTAATTTATAACGAATATATGCAGGATTTGATTTCTTAAGTTCTCGCAGAGTTAACTGTTATATAGGTAAACGGTGATACGATATTACACGTTTTTCAGTCATAAATAAAATTACAATTGTCATAGAACTTCTCTTTTTATTAAGATTGAATAATAAATGTTAATATAAATCAATTTATGTTATCACTGAATTGAATATCTATCGATAAAGATTTCACCTAAAGGTTACTATGGAATGATTGAAAACTAATCCTTTTTTGTGATAGTATAAAACTATTGCTGTAAATTTATAGGCATGTTGTAATTGATGTGAATCAATCGAATAAGTCATGATGCACTTAAGTCACTGTCAATCATTAAAGATTTAGGACTCCTATATCGAATGTAACCAGAATTTCAACTTAGTATATAAAACTTTCGGCTCAGCATCCAGAACTTTTGGTTAATATCTCATAATTTTAAGTGAATATATCAAAATTTCGACCAAATAACTAGAAAATGTGATTTAGTATTTAGTATACTGAAAATTCAAGATACGATCTCGACATACAGTGTTGGTAACTCGAAATTTCAAGTTAATATCTCAACATTTCATCGAAGAACTTAATATTTTTTCATGAGTTTCTTTCGCCAAAGAAGTTGTTTGACCTACTCAATCTCATAACCCATTAGAAATATAATACGTAAGGAGAAACAATTTAGATATCAAAGAAATTTTATTATTATCTCAATCACGGGTATGTATCGGCAGTCAAACATAGACAAATGATGCTATTTCAAACTTTCGCCAAAGCACGTTCTTGGAGACGGTTTGGAATTTACATACGCTTGAGAAATGGTTACTGCGTGTTGGGAATGTTTCCGTATTCAGCTATATCTTTAATGAAAAGGAATGTTTCAAATTGTATTTTACATTTTGATTCAACTAGACGATTTGGCAATTGATCGCAGTTCGTAATTACCTGGCTGAGTTATAATGCTGTTTTCTCTAGATATCGGAAAGTATGCTAAGAAATTAAAATCGTCTGGGCAAAATGACAAGGACTGCCTCAAGATCACCACCCCACCCCACCCCTCCGCCTTTAACGTCTCCCTCCAGTTAATCCTTTAACGCTATTTAGTCTATATTGATTCCTATTGACTGGTAACATGTATGAAACTATATTGCGGAATAATATGTACGATGTCCCTAATTACGTAAGTCTTTTGAAATTAAAACTCTTATCACCTTCATAATACAAAAAGCATGTTTCCCCATGTTAACCCAAGCATAAATCCGTATAATATGTTTCTTATTCAATTTTATACTGTGCATGTGCCATCAAGGTGAATTCCTGCTTACAGGTATGGTGGGTGGGTAGGTGGGAGTGGGGGAAGAAAAAACATCTCCTAATTTTGGTACACCTCAGATCGCATTTAATAAGGTATTCGACTGTCAAAGAACATTAACAATTAAAGTTACCAGAGCCTTAAACACACACACACACACACACACACACACACACATATGTGTGTGTGTGTGTGTCTAAGTTAAAATATTTTTCAACAAAACCACGCAAACACCACTAAATCTTGTCTGACGAATGTATGTGGAGTCAGATTTAATCCGTTATGAAAGTAACGTGTTATTGGTTAGTTACAACCTTTTAATCTGCTATGAAAACTAATGTTTTATTGGTTAGTTCTAACCTATAACTGACACTTTCTCAGTGTGCAAAGTCATTATGAACTACTGTCACGATCAACTGATTTAATGTTCGACTTTCAGAATTAAGCTGTATGCAAATATTTAAATTTTAGTTTGCTACGTCTGTATTTTTGTTTGAATAAATTTAAGAATGTGAGAAGAAAACTAGAATAGCAGTGTTGATTTTTTTTCTTCCTAAGAGTAATTCTTGGTTGCCTTTAGATTCCTATTTTTTTAGGAAAATTCCAAACATGGGAATTTCAGACTATTGTAACTGATTATGGAAAGTGCTTTTCTGTTGCGGATTCTCTGACTGAACGTTGCAAAACAATCATGGACGATTCATTGATTTAGGAGATGTAAATGTAGGGTATAAGATGTGTTATGGCAGAGTCAGGACGATAATCGAAATTTCGCTGTCTATCAAAATGTGTGAAGGTCATTCGCTGTTAAGCAACAGGGACTTTACTGCATTAGGACCTTCCATACAAGCTCTGTGATGTGGACATAATAATTATCAATAATTATACTCCACTTATATGAAGAAACAAACAGAACATCACACAGCAGTTTTCTTTACACACTTGAGAGGAGGAATCTTTGATCTAAAGTGACACGGTACTGGCCAACTGACCTTTGCCCATACTTTTCTTCGTAAAACCCATGTGAATATATATGCAATTGCGAATATCGCAAGAAATGTATTCCATCCTATAAAGTGTTAGGTGATTTTTAAATCGGTTGAATAATTTGGTATGTACAATTTTTATTTTGTTACATAAGTTTCAATCGGCTGAATCATTTGGTATGTACAATGTTTAGTTTGTTACGTAGGTTTGGATTGGATGAATCATCTTGTATGTACAATATTCATTTGTTACACAACTTAAATACTCCAACATTTCACAAGAACCGCTCCGGTGGCCTAGTGGTTAGAGCGTCCGCCTCGGATGCACGAGGTCGTGGGTTCGATCCCCGGTCGAGTCATACCAAAGACTTACAAAAATGGTACGAACAGCTGCCTCGCTTGACGCTCAGCATTAAGAGGTTAGTGTTAGGACTGGTCGGCCTAGTGTCAGGATAATGTGACTGGGTGGGACATCATGCTACATGTCTGCGGCATGATGCCCCAGTGCTAGACATCACTATAAACTGCTACACTGCAGACATCGTAGTGATATGACTGAAAAATTGTTAAAAGCTACGTTAAAATCATAAACACACAAACACACATTTCACAAGCGATAATTTTTAAAGTTTTTTTTTCTTCATATATACATTTTTTTAAAAACAATTCTCCGTTTTGATTTCTTGTGGAAAAATTGCATTTAGATGTTTTAGAATGAAATGGACATTATTTTATTCTTCACCATTTTTATATTTGGCAGACAAACCAAATGAAAGTGTTCCAGTATGTTTTCTTAATCATCTATAATGTTTCAACAGAGTTTTTTAATTAGCCAAAACTAAAACGAGTGGTTCATTGAATGGCAAAACTTGGTCCGAACACAAAATCTTCAAAAGTGAAGAAAATGATGTGCTAATTACTAGATGTCCTTATTCTTGCTGGTTATCCAATATATTTATTCTTTGCTGTGACAATGCTTTAACTCCGTAATGAACCGCTCCGGTGGCCTAGTGGTTAGAGAGAGTGCCTCCGATGCGGGAGGTCGTGGGTTCGATCCCCGGTCGAGTCATACCAAAGACTTACAAAAATGGTACGAACAGCTGCCTCGCTTGACACTCAGCATTAAGAGGTTAGTGTTAGGACTGGTCAGCCTGGTGTCAGGATAATGTGACTGGGTGGGACATCATGCTACATGTCTGCGGCATGATGCCCCAGTGCTAGACATCGTAGCGTTATGACTGAAAAATTGTTAAAAGCTACGTTAAAAATTATAAACACCAACACCTGAACTCCGTAATGCTCACCAAGAACTGTATGTTCATCAACAGTTTTCAGATAAGGTATGTTAGCGTATTTAAAAGCTATTTATGTTATGTAGCAAATATTCTTGCAACCAGACACTTAAAAACATCACAACGTCTGCATTTTTGGACAAAACAAAGCTATATTACTTTCTGTATTTATCTAATTAATTAGAGCTTCGTTTCTGAAGGATATTATAAATCCTATCCTTTGAATTTCGCTGAATCTGTAGATTTTGATTATTATGTTTTATCCAGGTTGTATGCAGATACAGAGAATTTTTTGCTGATCAGAGGAGTTTCGCAAGAGATTTTACAGCAGATGATATTCGAGAAAGTTTGTTACTTTTCACTGTTTGTTCTGTTACTAAAGTAAATCTAAGAGTTTCTCTAGAGATTTGACAACCAGTAAATTAGGTTCCTAGCATTTAATAAAAAAGCATCATCAAAGCCTACATTGGAGAAGAAATGTTTCACCAGTTCGATTTTGCTTTTACCAGCGAAAACGACAAAAAAAACAACAAAAAAAAAACAGCTGCGATTCAGCCAATTCCTGGAAAGATCGCTTGCAGTAGATAATATTCTTCTGAGCAGAGCATAGTTCCTTACATTTCAGTAGACAAAGCATCCTCGAAGCCTATATTGGAAAATGAAATGTTTCCTGAGTTAGATATGGCTTTTGACTGTGATTTATATATTTTAAAAGAAATACCCTCTCACCCACCCACCCCCGAAATTTTCCTGCCAGTCTGATAGGTTATATTCATTTTAATAAAATACAACTTTACATTCAGTTCAATTTACGAACGCACACGACATCGTTATGCCAGTTACATACTCCGATGTTTTGATATGTTAATGTTAGTGCCTAACATACGTAACAAAGTCTTAGTACATCTGAGATTATAACATGGGAATTGGGTTTCATTTTAATTACGTTTTGTTTACCTTTATATATTCTTTACATTTTCTAGAATTTTACCATTTTTTATCCTGTGTATATTTTATTGCTTTTTTCCGTTCAACTGGAAGTCTTTACCATACTAAATTTATTTGCAAGTTTAATACACTCACCACATAGTCGATCCTATTATGTTATGATATTGTCTGTCCATTTGTCTCTTACCAATTTGGTTTCTGCACAATAACTTTAGTTGTCCACCATCTACATTTGCCAAACTTTGTAAATGGCTTGCACTTGGTGTATGAAAGAGGGCTTCATTTTTGGGGTCAGAAGGAGAAAATAACGAATGTGATATAGAAAATCTTATATCTGAATTCAACACATTCCTAATAATTCCACCATAATCAGTTGAAGCTAACTGTAATTTTATTGCGTTCATCCAATGTTTGATTTCATCAATTTATTTTTGATCAACATGTAAACTGTTAAATTTCCTCAAATTTTTAAACTTTTACCTCTTGTGAAAATAGTTTAATTTAAATTCAGTATTATCATGTAGTAGTCAGACCTATAGTTTGGTTCAGTTACCACTTTTCCTACATTTGTCATAAGAGATTCAGAAACAAAAAAGAAATTCAATCTAGCTTGTTTTTGAGGACTCTCTCTCTCTCTCTCTCTCTCTTTTTATATATATATATATATATATATATATATATATATATATATATATATATATATATATATATATATATATATATATATATATATATATATATATATATATATATATATATATATATATATATATATATATAATGCTTCATTTATTGCTCTCAATGGATTAAAAGGACCAAAAGCTTAGTTCATACTTAATAAACCGGAGGCCCTAGTGGTTAGAACGTCCGCCTCGGATGCGGGAGGTCGTTGGTTTGATCCCCGGTTGAGTTATACCAAAAACTTACAAAAATAGTACTAACAGCTGCCTCGCTTGACGCTCAGCATTAAGAGGTTAGTGAAAGGACTGGTCGGCCTGGTGTCAAGATAATGTGATTTGGTGGGACATCATGGCACATGTCTGCGACATGATGTCCCAGTTCTAGACATCACTATAAACTGCCACACTGCAGCCATCGTAGCGATATGACCGAAAAAATGTTAAAGCTACGTTAAAAATCATAATCACATCACATCATACTTAATAAAGTCTTTCTACGGCCAGGATTACTTGTGTTTCTATATTTATGTGAATCTAATTCTGGATCTTGAGCCAATTTAAATCCCCCGCATATAATAGCAGACTCGTTTTCACATTCACGTATATAAAACAAATTATATTACTTTACAATTCTGGATAATCATTATTTATACATTAATAAAGGAAAAGTTCCTTCACCAAGTTTAATACATAATACAATATTCTTTTATATTCTAAACAAAACTGTTGTTGAATAGAATACAGATTTCTCCAGAATTTGACCTGTAACTATTTGAAATAATTTCTAAGCCCTAATATATGAAATGTTATCTTCAGTAAAATGTGTATCTTGTATCTGTTTTCATATAAGATCATCAAAACCATCCTTACATTTTTTTAAAATATCCAAGATCCCAAACTTTGGCAAATATTTTTTATGTTTTAGTTAGTATGTACCTAGCATTTTCAGAAGGGTCCCTTTTAGTGTTCCATTAGGTCACATATATTCGTCTTTTTTACACACAATTATTACATACATAGGAAAAACTAAACAATCATGTGCCAAAACTGTATGTAGCAGTGTTTCTAAGATATGCTATTATCAATGATCGACTATGTATCCGTAGTAAAACAAATGCAAACAATTCTCATATTTCTTTATTCATCCTCATGTTTTCGTGACTCTAGGTAATGATGTTCATTTTATACATCATAAGAGGCATTACGTTATTGTAGGATTTTGATGGGATGTGGTCTTAAACAAAAGAATAGACATAAATCCTTTCATGGAGTAAAGAAATCACCGCTACGAAAGTCGCATGTACCGATACTATGTCTGATGCCAAATTTACAAACCCGCTCTCTACTCTGTGAATAAGAACACTCTCACTAGAAGAAGACTTCTCAGATAAAGCCAAAGTATCTGATAATAAAAGCCTTTGTAAAGCTGTAACTTTTAACTATTTTAACAGTCTTGGTAGAGTTACCAAAAAGTGATAGAGAACCTTACAACATGAATGGTTCATAATTCTCCATGATAAAATCAGACTGAGGTCTCTTTGTCCCAAGCAATCTATTGCTTTCAATAAAAGATAGCAATCTTGATCCCGTATTAATAAGAGCAGTTGGAACGGCCCTGTTTTTGTTTTGTTGTTTATTTTTCAACATGTTAGAGTAAGAAATAGCATGCCCTATCTTCCTACAAGAAGTGCACATAGAAAGAGATAAGGATCTCTGATTCGAAGATTGATTACTAAACGTTGTGCTAGATTGAGATTTGGAAGTACTCCTATGAGACTGAGATGGTTGTCGTTTAAAAAAAATTGCTGAGAGAAACACTTACTGACAAATGAAACTTTGTGAGTCAGAAAGATGTCATCAGCTGTTGGAGCGGCCTTTTCCAAAGTCTCTACTTTTCGACTTCGCTATAGATACCAATTTTGAACTCTTCAGCAAACATGATTTGTCTTAGATAATCATAATCTTCATCCACTTTATTGACTGATCACCACCTATCAAATAGTTGTTCTTATTCACTAACAAATTCAGATACGTTTGTCCAGTTTCTTTTCCACAATTCCTAAACCTCTGTCATTATGCCTCAGGTACCAACGCATAACCCTTCAAGATAATTCCTTAACTACCACTTTGTGCACAGATAATGAAGCATATCCTTCATGAGCTGCTTCGCCAACAAGTACAGTAAGAAAGTCCACTTCAAATTGTCAGTAATTTTCTCAAAATGAGGAAAATATTTATTGACTTCGTTTCTTTGAAAGAGGTAATAACCTAATATTTTTGGTAATATCAAGACCTGAACTGGTGTGGGTATGTGATGTGTGTGCATTCTTCTTGAAATGTTCTAATCCTTTTAATTTCGCTTGTATTTCTCTTTGTTCTTTCTGTATTGCAATTCTCTTTCTTCTTTTTCTTCATTTGTATTTCGATATCCTCTTTTTGTATTAGCATTTTCATTTTTCTTTCTTCTTTCTTCAATTACCTCTCATCTTTTTCTATGTCTCACCCATTTCTTCTTCATGATTTTAGATTTCCATCATTTCTTTTTGAAGTTGAAGCTTTCTTCATTGCAATTCTTTTAATTTCAGTTCAGAGCCAAATAGAGATGTACTACTGAAACCCATAGTATATTATGTCTTGCTTTAACAAATATGCTGTTTCTTCCGAAATAGAATAATGTCCTGCATGCTCTAGCAACTCGTCTTTCTTTAAACACTATTACCCTTTTTATGTTGGATTTGAAAGAGTTATCCACGTTAAATGTCATTTTGAAAGCTTGTTGGTTTCACCGAAGATTTATAAAATATGGGAAATAAAAATATGAAAAACAAAGAAAATTTCCGAAAAAAAGTGATTTTAAACTTTCAAAGCAATTTTATCTTCTACTAATATTAGCTGAAATGGTGAGGGATACTTTTTTATGCCAAATGGCAAAATTTTATATTAATAATGTACAGCTAGATTTGCAAATGCCAAAATTTCTTTTGCTTTTTGAGTAGGTAGAATTGACTAGAATTCTTATAAAAATTCAAACCTAGTGACATATAATTTATTTCCAATATTGTCAATTCAATCATCAATTCTTGGCAATGGAAATTAATTTATTTTGTTGACCATTGTTCAATTTTCTATAGTCGTTTGGGTTTGGTAGA